CAACAAGAAACTATAACCTTACCTTAACCATCTGATCCTTCTTCAACAAAACTGGAGGATCAGAGCGTAGAGGTGAAAAGTGACAAATACAATTATCGACAGAAATACAAGTAGGCATAGCAATACCCTAAAAAGTATAAACTTCATATGAAGGACACAACATAACGTAAAAGGGTACCTACCTTCGATACGTCTTTCTCTTTGACAAAAACTTTTGAGGTTTTCTCAAGAATGAGATTGTCGCCTAATGTGCACAAACTGCCAACCTCCACTCCTTCTTTTACTTCTAAGATCAGCTTCTGAAAACAAAATGAACTCAGTTCGAAGCATTACAGACTCACTCACAGGAAACTATAATTAGGCGCTGTTCACACATTGCGCCATAGCCGAAAAACGCTCGAAACGAACGAATCTGCGGATCTGCGAAAAGATTCAAATGCGTATTGATCCACAAAAATGGGAGGAGCTTCGAATCGCGCATTCGAATCTGCGAATCCTTTTGAGAGAGGTGTATATCTATCGATCAGGTGAAGTGGAGGCGGCGCATCGTTTCGCGCTTTCGATACCTCGACGCGAAACGCTAATAGGGTGTGGTTTACTACGTCGATACGCATCTAAACCTTTTCGCATCCGCGTTCGCGCGTGTGGAAATTCTCTGGTCGATACGTATATTCTTTTCGCGAATTCGAATATTCGGATGATTCAAAAACAGTGAACAATGCCTTATAAATCAACGAGGTAACTAATCCACAGACACAGCAGAAACGCACTAAGAAGCTTGAGCTGGCCGTATGTTTAAAAAAGTCAGTGAAGGATCATTAGCTAGATGCACATAAAGAATCGCTGCTTCAATCCTAACGGCAAAGAAAGAATTCCGCTCACACTCGAGCCTCTCAGGCGTACAGTTCCAACCCATTCCTAAGCAGTAAGATTGTAAAAACAAATAATAATTTGACTAGAACATTTCCTCAACACACGACACAATGTAAGGCCCATGTGCGCAATAAAATGCCCAAATCAAAATGCTCTAATAATAACCGAAGTAGTAGGACTGATCAACGATGGGGACTGATCAACGATGACCATGATTTCCTTTGAACGTTTACTTTGTTGCTTCAACTACAAATGTTGAGGTCAGTCAGTGCTACTTGTTTCTCTATGCAGTGAGCACCCACGTCAACTGATACTTTCTCAAGGAAACAACGAGATGCAGGATAGCGGTACTCTGTCAACAACCGTATCACCCATATGACAGCGTTCAATATTGTCATATTGCCGTCCGGTCGTCGCCGTTGGGAAAAGTTCTATTCGCTTCTCTTCGGACGCTTTCTGTGCAGTCCTACCGCGCTTCAAAATTTCAGCGCCCACCGTGCGGAAAAAGTAATTTTATGCTTAAGCCTGCACACATAACAGAGAGCGAGAGCTGAACTATCCTAGGAAATTTATCACTGCAATGAAGACTAACAAACGAAGTCTTCAAAAGTGAGAAAAAAAGCACTGAAACTACCTTGAGGATTTCGTTGACCATTTGAGCGGCCATCTGATACTTGTTGACCACCACGTCACTGGACAGACTCTCATCCTCGCGTTCACGAGATTCAGGACTCGATGAACTACTCTCACTATCCTTACGAGGCATCCTGCAAAAAACAAATAATAAACAACTCATCTCAATGGATTACCGCGTCAACCAGCACATAGAATGGAGTAAAACAAAACTGGAACAGTAAACAAGAAAAATGAGAAATGCTTCGCATAAAAATGACTCAGTGCCAAGTCTAAGCACCTTCTACGGAGAAAAAAGGAGCACTTAGGAGTTCGGTAGTGTTACGAAGAAGTGCAGGAAACAGGAAAAGGCATAGAATAACCTCTCACAAAAGCTGTCTCCCTTCGAACTGTAGAAATACGAACCTTCTTGCTCATAACCTTGGCTTCCAATCGTATAAATAAACTAGTAAACAGAATAAAAACAACACGGAAGAAACGTAAACAGGGAAAATCCTTCGAAAATTCAAAGGTGAGTGGGCGTGATGGTGACGTGATATTCAGGGGAGTACTGTGTAATTCAAAACTTGGCCAAGTGCCAACTTCCGCTCCACGTTCTCTTGGGGCCGTATGCTATGCTTTCGGGGAAGGGGAAGAGTTCTGCTTCGGGGAAAATCCCCGAAGCAGACGTCCCCGAAGCAGGGCGTATGCTATGCTCCCGAAGTTCATTCGGGGAGAAAAGACGCAGAGTTTATAGGGCGCGAAGTTCAAATGATCATTTAGCCACGTCTGCGATTGCGTTTGACAAGTGATTACCTGTAAGCTCGTTTAGTTTTATTGGTCGATGGGGACACAATATGGGGAGATTAAATCTATATTGTTTATGAATAAAAGTTTAGTTGGAGAGGTATCGTGGCACAACAGTTCTTTCCGGCGTCAGAAATCATATTTTTGTAGAGGTAGAGAGCTCAAGGGTGGACAAACCAGATTGATTGTGCAAGCAGAGAAATGGTTGTGTACAAAAGAGAATTTTGTCATGGTTCCGAATACTTGAGGCGTTCTGCGTGACGCTGCTCCTTCCAGCCTCATTTTTTCCTATGTTCTTCGCACAAATATGATTAGTCATGTTCCACTCAGAAAATGATTTCCAATTTCTATCCATTTTGATGCTTTGTTCTATCTTCTGATCGAAGAGTCTACTTTTCTTCGAACTGGTTCACTTCAACTCATGGACGAATTTTCTTCTGCGCGCTATAGGTGAACTGGTTCCAGTACAGCCATGAGACGCAAGCACTAGGACAGCTTGTTCTGGCCTAGGCCAGAACCCGCGGTCACCCTCGCTCCTTGGGGGCGGGGCTTAGGCATTTTTCAGGTTCTGCTCTGCCCGCAACAGGGTACATTACTTTCTGTCTTAAGGATAAAAATCTTGTCCACTGAACCACTGTATTATTTGCTATAAGAGAGACATTTAATCTCTTTTATTTCCAAAAGGCGCCACCCATACCGCCTAAGTCATCACATTTTTTGGTGCATACGACTATGGTGTACAGTGCGCAGCGTGTGGGAGACCACACAACGTGCTACTGTGCGCCAATCGTGGACAAGCTGGCTTCAAGAGGCGACGACAAAACTGATGCGAACGATGGTTATGGGCAAGCTACAGAAGACGTCGGCAGAAAGAAATTTTTTTGTGTTGTACTATATAGATATTATTGTTGTGGCTGGCGGGAGTGTTCTGGCCTAGGCCAGAACCCGCGGTCACCCTCGCTCGCCCTTGGGGCGGGGGGGAGGCGTTTTTCGGGGGTCTTCTGTCTCTGTCCCATACATGGTACGAATTACTTTCCTTCGCAAGGCATAAAATCTGTGTCCAACTGAACCCTGTATTATTTGCTATATATGAGACATTTAATGCTCTTTTATTTTCAAAGAGTTGCCACTTCCTTGCGCCCCTAAAGTCACACCCAACTGTTGAAACGTAACACACAACTGAATGTGACGCCATTTGATAGACACATATCTCCATATCATCTACTTAACAGTCAGTATCGCCCCACAGTCAACAGTACTCTACAGACTAAAAAAAACGAAATGCATTCGCTATCCTATGTGAAATGGTGCGCAGTGAACAGGTGCACATGAATTTGTATATTGCACAAGATGCATGCACTATTTTTTTGCGCAGAACTCTAATTTTATAGCGAAATCATGTCCTGCATTTCCAGAGTTTCCACTTTATTCGAAGCGCTGAACCAGTATTCCAGCACCTTACAAGCATTACACGCCACGGACCCCATGATCAATTTGCACAAGTGCAGACATCCAGTCCAACGTAAAAAAAACTCGCCCGCATGTAATCTGCAGCATAACCACCTTCACCGCTTCCGAAGAAGCGCAACTCTTAAGGAAGATATTGTAATGGTCCCGTGAAAGAATAAATGTCTGCCAGCAGCGATGCGCGCAGTCTCGCGCGACACTTGCCAGCCTCGAGGATGTTCTCTCTCAACTGAGCCCCGGGGTGGTCGGAAACTTAGAATATAACTGTATACGGTAAACCAATTAAGGAGGTTACTGTAATATGCCTCGCCCTCCTCAGACCTGCCTGTGGGGTGACCTCATTTAATAGCTTGCGCTGAACCGCTGACCTCTTCCTGGCTTTCGTCAAACAGTATAACGATTATCGAACGAACTCTAGTAATACGTACGAAAAAGAGAAAATAAAGAAAAAAATAGTTCAGATCCCGGAAACCAATATGATTTTACTGGGACTTGTTTTGAGGTTTTCTCCAGTACTCTTTGCTTTTGTTCATAGGTGCTTCCGTTTTGATAGCATTCTTCAAAACCAAGCGCCTCCTCAACACTGGTGGTCTCCAATGTTCCTAGAACCAGTTGGTAAATTCCTACTCCGGCTGAGTTCCCCTTCAAAGCTGCCGTCTAGAGGGAGTGGTGGGGAAGGGATCAGTATGTGTGGGAATTGTCCACATCTCAAAAACCAACATGGTTTCATGTTTCACGTTCCCACTCTTCTCGTGGAGAAATGTAGCGACCGTGCGATATGTGTAGTAAAAAAGAAAATACTCTAATTCTAAATTCTCACTAGCACGATCTCCCTATTCGTTTCGAGGACCGCCGCTTCAAAACTAAGGTCAATACGAAATAATAACACATTCCTCCTCAAAAGTCACAGATATGATTCCCCGTCCAGTTCAGCCAGACGCACGATCGACTGTGGCTTCATTTACTATAAGATCGATGGGTAGTGATGCTGCAGCGGCAACATTTACTGAGAGGAGTTTTTGCTTGTTATTGCAAGATAAATTTGGAAATAACCGGACGACTACGAAGCTTCTTTGACCCATCTGCTGATATTTGTGCTGCTTGGCGGGTGCTTAATTTATTAGGTTCACTTCAATGATCTAATATTGAATGGAGGAAGCGGAAAAATTAAGCTCACTGATCGATAGAGAATTTAATTAACTATAACTTGATGCTTAAATTCCGAATTCTAAGGAAATACACCTTCAAACTTGTGTTTAAAAAGGTAACTATGCGAGCATTCATGGATCATGTGTCCTGACGTTTGGATCGGATTAAGATGCTGCTTGCGATAAGTTATGAAGGTAGGTCAGCGTCGCAGTGCCTACAGTTAATGATGGCCGCAGCCCACAAGGCAGGTCTGCGAGTGAGGGCCAAGCATCTTACATAACCCCTTATTGCTTACCATATACATGTTATATTCTTAATCACCATACCTCACGAATAACAGTAAGGGACGCGTCCTCTGAAGCTTGGTGGTTCTCCCCGAATGAGCTTCGGGGAAGGACACCATACGACTTAGGACGCATCCCTTTCCCGGGAAGCATAGTATACGGCCTTAAGTTTTCAGGCTTAAATGATTTGAATTCTTGGGTGATGCTTCATAAATATAGGAGCTACTCTATATAAAATATCAAATAGAGCCGGTAGATTAACAGAAACGCTCATCAAGATGCGTCTTGAGGTTGATAACAGCAGTTTTCTGACCCTTGTCCAGAAACGTATTCCTGTTGGCTTTACAAGCAACAGCTTCTTGAATTCAAATCTTGCCAGACAATTGGTGCAATGCTAGTCGGATGTGCACGCCGATTTTTGGATACGGTGCCAACTGAACAATACATGTCAAAACTTGCAAAATTCGCTAAGCCTTCCGATTAGAAAAGCAGCAGTTAACAAAACATGGCATGTTAAAGCTTGAGCTATAGCTAAAGCTGAGCTACTGTCACCGTCAATCTCTACACGGAACAGCTGCACGATTTGTAGCGAGTCGTCGACATTGATTGTTCTCCAATCTAACGTTGTTCTCCGATTAACTCGTCACTCAGACGGTAAAAGCCTCGAGACTCGCGCTCAAGTCGAAATCGAGTTGACGTCGTATTTTGCCTCGCGCCAGCCCGTATTTTGGAGGGACGGCATCTGGAATCTGCCTGAACGTTGTAGTAAGCGTTGCATGATCAGCTAATGGGAATAGTGCTGCTCCATCCTTTGATATTGCGGTAGTCAAGAGTTTTCACTGTGACTGGCAAAAACATTGGTGTTTTTATATACCAGATTAGTCCCCCGTCAACCGCCGGGACCTTCCTTTCCTGCGCAAGCTTTCTATCCTCCGCTATGGTCCCTTCCTCCTGTGACACCAACACCTCCTGGAAGTGACGCGTATGCAACACAATGGTGTTTCATACAGTAGAAGGGACACAATCATGATATGACGGTAGATTTTTCGCTTCCCTTCCTCATCCTCCCTTCCTCTCTCCACTGCCCTCCAGCTGCCACTGCAGCACCATGTGGAATGAACGGAAGTGTGCTAAGCAGGTGTTTATATAGCCCTAAGAGTGTTATCACAACTATCCTGCTACAAAACATTGATATCTCAAATCCTGTAAGCTACCCGATTTGTTAGCGGTTTGTTTATCCCATGAGCTTCCTTCTCACTCACTTCATTTTGCGGACGGACACACATACATACATACACACACACACACACACACACACATACAGATACACAAACCGACACACAAAGTTAGCGCTTTATAAAATAGAAGGATGCCAAAGAAAGGTTTACCTGAAAATACAAAGCTCACAAAACCTACTTAACCTCTCATTTCAGGCATCACCAAAGTG